AATGACGTAATGCCATTTGCAGCAACATGGATGGACCCAGAGGTGACCTTACTAAGTGAAGTGAGTCAGACAGAGAAAGACAAATACCATATGATATCACTTCTATGTGGAATCTAAAATATGACACAAATGAACCCATCTACAAAACAGAAACAGAGTCACAGACATAGAGAACAACAGACTTGTGGTTGCCAAGATGGAGGGCGGGGAAGGGATTGAGTGGGAGTTTTGGATTAGCAGATGCAAACTATTATATGTAGAATGGATAAACAACAAGGTATAGTACAGGGAACTATATTTCATGTTCTGTCACAGATCATAATGGAAAAGAATAGATACATGTGTCACTGAGTCACTTTGCTGTACAGAAGAAACTAACACAACATTGTAAGTCAACTATCCTTCAATAAAATTTTTTTTTTAATCTTGTGATAAACCATAATGGGAGAGAATATGAAAAAGAATGTGTATATGTATAACGGAACCACTTTGCTGTACAGCAGAAATTAACACAGCATTGTAAATCAGCTAGACTTCAATTAAAAATAAATTTAAACTAGAAAAAGTGTCTGTGTTCCTGCTGCTCTCGCCTCTGATTCTCCCTTCAGCTCCTTGAGGTACTCCTTAGCCCCGCGCGGTAGTAAAGGAAACGGAGGCCCAGCCCAGTGAAGTGGCCTGGTCCAGACCCTCAGCCCCTGTGTGGCTGAGCGCGGACGGAACCCAGGACTCCTGACACTTTGTCTGCCTGGCCCTCCCACTTTCCTTGATGAAATCTGGTTGGCCAGAAATCAAGAAGAAAGTCTTAGGGCTTCCCTGGTGGCGCAGCTGTTGAGAGTCTGCCTGCTGATGCAGGGGACACGGGTTCGTGCCCCAGTCTGGGAAGATCCCACATGCTGCGGAGCGGCTGGGCCCGTGAGCCATGGCCGCTGAGCCTGCACGTCTGGAGCCTGTGCTCCACAACGGGAGAGGCCACAACAGTGAGAGGCCCACATACCACAAAAAAAAAAAAAAAAGAAGAAGAAGAAAGTCTTAAAAACAAATGGACTGAAAGCAACCATTGATTTGGAGGCCACACATAGATCTGTCCAAAGAAATGCAGCTAATGTAAATTTAAACAAATAGGAGGACTCTTTTCAGCAGTGACATGGAACATTACAGCAAGGGTTTGAAGGTAACCTAGCTTCCTGTCATGATTTACTGTCATCTCCAATAGTGGACCCAAGCGTTCAAGGTCATGGTTCCCTTATAGAGCTTTATCCTCCTTAGTCATCATCTTGCTTTAGTGGGGGGACATTCCTTCTAGCAGATGGCTTTCAGCCCTCCTCTTTGCAGAAGCCTCAGACTCCCACACACACACCCCATTCGTCTTCACTGCTCCATCCCCTTCTTTCAGCCGTCCTTCACTGAGTATCGTCATCAACATGTTCTAGAAATGGAATCTACGTTGAAGAGCAGTATCACGGGGAGAGATAAGAAAGTTATGCAACCAAACTATATACCCAACCCAGATAGAAAGAAGAGTCAAGGATGTATTCAAGTCTTGGCTTAGAAGTGGGTTTGCACCCAGTTCTTTTCAAGTTGCCTGCAGTGTATCTGTGGCTGCTGCTGATCCAGAGCCACTGGTGGTCCAGCTGGGAATGGACTTGGCATCCACCTGGAGAATTTAAGAATTTTGGTTCCTGTGCCTGTGGGTCTTAGAGTAAGTAAGGTTAAAAAGGTGAATCTTGGAGTCACGTAGTCTAGAGTTGAAATTCTAGTTCAGCCTCTCATCACATGTATGGACCTTGGACAGGTTATCTTATTTCTCCAGCATGTGTCCTTCTCATGTGTAAAACAGAAACACCAGCTCTGAACAGCTGCTGTGAAGATTGAGATAATGGACACAAAGTGCCCAGGTTTGATTAAAGGTGGTAAGGTAGTTAGAATCTGCTGTGTTTCATGTGACTTAAGTAGCATTTCTAACAAATGTCATATATTATTAACACATATATGTGGAACCTAGAAAAATGGTATAGATGAACTGGTTTGCAGAGCAGAAATAGAGACATAGATGTAGAGAACAAACGTATGGAAAGTTTGTTCTCAAGGGGGGAAAGTGGCAGGGGTGGTGGTGTGATGAATTGGGAGATTGGGACTGACATGGATACACTAATATGTATAAAATGGATAACTAATAAGAACCTGCTGTATTAAAAATTCAAAAAAATGTAGCATTTTTATGGCCCTGTGTTACTTGAGGGAATAAATGAGTGGGTGAGCAGATGAATGAAATAATACTGTGTAGAGTGAATTTTGTATTTCCCTTCCAAACACACACACACACACACACACACACACACACACACACACACACACAAATACATATGCTGAAGCATAATCCCCAGTGTGATATTTGGAGGCAGATCCTTTAGGAGGTGATTAGGTCATGAGGATGGGGTCCTCGTGAATGGGATTGGTGCCCTTCTAAGAGGCCCCATGGAGCTCTCTTGCTCCTTCCACCTTGTGAGGTTACAGGGAAAAGACAGTCATATGTGGACCAGGAAGTGGGCTCTCACCAGGCACTGAATTTGCCAGTACCTTGATCTTGGACTTCAGCCTTCAGAACTGTGAGAAATAAATGTCTGCTGCTGACACCACCCAGTGTGTGGTGTTTTGTCATAGCAGCTGGAATGGACTAAGACATACACCAAAGGCTTGACTTTTCTCCCACAGCTGTTCCATCAGTCACTGAGATGTGTTTGTCAGGAGCCCTGGTCACAGTCAAAGCTGTGCTCTGGTGGAACACTCTGTAGAAGTTTCTAGGTGGAGTTGTGTGGTGGGCTGCGGTTGGTGTCCTACTGCCTGAGTTTGGAGCTAGTGACTGGGGTCTGTCAGTTACCCTCGGGAGATCTCAGGACCCGATCCGTAAAAGGGAGAAAAGAGAACGAGGGAATGACTGCAGAGGGTTACGGAATTAGGAGGAAATCCTTGGAGTAATGCCTGACTGAGAGAGTGTGTACCGTGTAAGGGCTGGCGGGTGTTATTTTATTACTGCCGCGGCGGGCGTAGTCTGGCACTAGACCTCGTGAAGATACCAGGAGGATAACAAATGGCTCTCAGTCCAGTGTCCTGTCCCATCAGCTGGTGGAGACACGAATGGAAGAGATGGTAGGAGCCAGGTGGGCGGGGCTGTCACCCAGGAAGAATTCTTATGAGAGAGAAGCCATTGTGGCCCGGAGTATATAGGGATGAGCCCATGCGATGGGGAGTCCGGCCAAGAACCCACTCGGCCCTGCTCCATCCATTGACCTCAGATTTTTCTAGTCTACCCCTTGCCGGAAAATGAGTGATAAAAGCTTAGAGATTAAGACTGTCCACAGGGTGACAGAGACTCGGGGGGGTAGAGTCATTGGTTAACACAGGGGTGGGTGGTTCTGTTCTGGCAGGAGTGGGTAGGGGAACGGAGAGCAGTGAGAGAGAAAACAAGTTAGAGGGAGAAGGGAAGGCTGACTGCAAAGGGCGTTTGTTCATGTCCTTCAGAGAGTAAGAGCAGAGGGACCCTGTGCGGGGAGAGCCTCCAAGGTGCTCTCCTGTACAGTCTAATTTAGGGGGTTACAGTGTATAAAGAAATGTACATAAGTTAATAGCAGCTACAGTACTACTCCTGAAATAAGTATCAAGTGCCTGTTTTATATATTCTTAATAATGAGGCCATGAGCGGCAGGTGGGCTGAGGAACAGGGATTGGAGAGAGAAAGGGACGCAGATGCAGACAGAGCTCTTCTCGCGTGAGGGAACATTCCCATCTGCTGAGCATTTTGTTCGTTGCAAAGGCTGGTTGTGTTTTGGTAACGAAAGGCAGAAGCACTGAGGATGTTGACTCTGATGGAGGACGGGGGGCCCGCTGGGTTGATGAATGTGAGTGTGGCTCGAGAGGCGGGGAGACCCCCGCCAGCCACCCACTTTAATAGTCACCTTTTTCAGATACTTACAGAGAATCTGAGCCTCGCAGCAGCCAAGAAGAAGAAATAGAAAAGGAAAGACAGTGGGAGGGGGGGACATTCGGTGAAATCTCGCCCCTACCCCACGCGGGGCCATGAGGCACAGGGGGGGGGGGGGGGAGACCCCCCCCCCCCCCCCCCGCCAGCACGTAGGATGAGCCAGGGGTGATGGGAGGGCGCTCGTGGCGGAGACACCTTGGGAGCGGGCTGCCCGGGACCCACACAGGTGAGGGTCTGACAGAGCAAAAGGCAGCCTGTGCCTCGGACCCGCACCCCTGTCCCCCATGGCCCCGCAGCTCCGCCTGCCCTGCCCCGTGCCCTCCTTTATAGAAACAGGCATTGTTTGTGACCTGCAGTCACCGTCCTGACTTTCCTCCCGACGTTTGCATCCAAGCAGCTCCATCCACACCTTACCTGCGAGCCCCTCTCACTTGCCCAGTGTGGTCAGCAGCTTCCTACAGAGGCACTTGGTGAGGGGTGCTAGGGGAGGAAGGGAGGAACCCAGCACCTCTTAGCCAAGGGGATCGCCCAGTTTTTCGGTAAGAGGACCCAAGGCCACACCACTGAGTCCGGACCAGCCTCTTTTTCTTCGGACAGTTGGTGGTGAGATTCATGTGCCGTGAGCACTGCAGGGAGGGTGCAGGCAGACGTGAGCCTGAACTTCTGGAAGGAGCCCTGCAAAGCCAGGCCGAGAGCCCCGCGGTCTGACTGCTGTAACAGAAACCTTGAACCTGGGCAGACACGGGCCTGTTTTGCTTTTAATAACGCGGAAAGGGCTCTACCTTTACAGCTGTTTTCCCGTCCCGCGCAAGCAGAGGCCTGCCTTGGTCTGCATCTCTCCCTCTCGCTGCCGGATCCTGCCCACGACACCCGACATCACAGGCCGGGCATCCTACGGTCACGTCCCTTCTGCTGTTAAGCGCATCTGACATCAGCGGTGCCACCTTTTAGGTCTCAGTGGCTGTGCCTTCCACCCTTGGTCCAGGCTTCACAGAACCCTGGCCTCCCTGTCTTGCTGCAGGTTTTTCCCACTCGGCGTTCACATTCGGTATCGAGAGCCACATAAGCCAGTCCAACATCAATGGGACTCTAGTGCCGCCGGCTGCCCTCATCTCCATCCTGCAGAAGGGCCTGCAGTATGTGGAGGCCGAGATCAGCATCAACGAGGTACGTGCACCCCCGGGGCGGGCCCAGGCCGTGCACACCCTGGATCGTGCGCGCACTGGGAAGACGCGTCACCTTAGCACACAGTTCCCCACCATCTCTCACAGTCGGTTAGGGTTCCTTCTCTCTTTGCGGTAAATACTTCCTTCAGTGGGGGATGGCGCTTCTGTTGTACCCAAGGAACAATCTTCCGAGGCCCTTTAGGTGGTTGTGTTGTCTTCCATATCCATGCGCACATCGCCAGCTGTTGACTGATGTCCCGCTACGTTGCCAAATGGGAAAAACACGCAGCAGATCTGCAGCTGCTTTATACGGTCATCCCTGGGTATGCACCGGGGATTGGTTCCACGACCTGCTGCAGGTACCAAAATCCGTAGTGCTCAGGTCCCACAGTTGGCCCTCCTGTATCCGCAGATTCCACATCCGCGGTTTCTACCAACCGCAGATGGTAAACGTAGTGGTAAATGTGTTGGAAAAAAAATCGGCGTATAGTGGGCCTTGCCCGTTCAGACCTGTGTTGTTCAAGGGTCAGGGGTACTTCAGGACAGGTGTGGGCCTTGCACGTGCACAGAAAACGCCCCCCCCCCCCGGAATATTTTGAGCAGCTCAGTCGAAGAGGGATCCTGGGAAACATTCGCCTAGAATCTGCGTTTCGTGTGAACCCGACAGAGGGCACAGCCAGAGACCACGGAGGATAGATGAGGACTGTTGTGTTCGAGAGGATTCCGAGGGATGGTTTTGTTACCCGTTGAAGAGCTGCAGGGGAAGGGGACAGTTGTATCCATAATTATACATTTAAATCACTCCAATTTGTTTGTGTCCCCTCCCTCTTTATAGATTGGGGCACAATGAGTCCTTGGGCCAACTTCATACCAATTTTTTAATGGGCTCTTTTGCTTGAAAACAGTGCCCCTCTCCCCTGTTCTGTTTTACTCTTGGGATCGTCCTGTGAAGATGCCCGGGGCCTCCTGTGATGTCCGAGGCCTCCCTTGCATCTCGGTCTGAGCCCCTCTTATTTTCACCCCACTTCCCGCCCTTTCTCCTTCTTTCTGCCCTCGTTTCTCCCACCTCCGTCTGGCACGCTGCTCTGCCCCAACCTCCTGTCTCCTGTCACGGTCCATCCTGCACAGCTGACGCCGTCCACTGCCCACATGCCCCTCTTTACCAACAAGTGTCCCCTTCCCGGGTCACACCACCCTCGGGCCCGTCTTCCTGAACCCTTCCAGTTTCCTCCATCCCCTCTCCCTCTGAACTGCTCTCACCCTTACAAGCCTGTCTTTTTTTTTGTTTTCTTTTCTTAACATCTTTATTGGAGTATAATTGCTTTGCAATGGTGTGTTAGTTTCTGCTGTATAACAAAGTGAATCGGTTATACGTATACACATGTCCCCATATGTCTTGCCTTTTGCGTCTCCCTCACAAGCCTGTCTTATGCATAGCATTTAACTCCACTTTCTCTTCAGCTTTTAAAACTACGGAAGGAATGTGTCTTGTGTTCTGTCACGTGTATTGCTCTGCTGTTTTCCAAAAGCCCACATCCTTGAAAACACCTGAGTGTCTGCCTACCCTGTGCTCTTTCTTGCCTAACAACGGGCAGTCTCCTCTTTCCTTGTCTTACATCGGGTGCCTGGGATCTTCCACCAGCAACTTGAGGCCCCGTCGTGTCTCTCTTTCCACAAAACAAACAAGTGTGGGGATAGGGTTACAGGACCCCAGAGGGCCCACCGGCTCTCAGATTGTGTCATGATGAGTGAGATTGGATTTCCCTTCCCCCTGCCCCTGCGCCCCCCCACCGGCCCCAGTTTCCACGTCTTTCATCCGCGGAGAAGCCCCCCATACCTTCTCTCCCTTGGCCGTTCAAAGTCCAGTGTGTCCAGAGGAGAACGAAAGGTCATCTCATTTGTCACTTAGGTTTCGGGTAGTTAAAAGTGAGACGGTGTGCTTTTAGAGCTGAAACTAGAAGGTTTTTTGTCACCCTGGGCAGTTACAGACTTTTGCAAAATCATCATCCATTTGGGGCTTGAATATACAAAGAAGGAAGATGACGTAGTAGCCGGCTGACCAGTTGGTCAGCACTGGCCCCTCCATGGCTGGAACCCGGGCAGCTGATGAGGTGACTGGCTACTTTTTCCCATGTTCTGTATTATTTTATATTGTTTCCCTTATTTTCAAGTATTGTTTAGTAACCTGTGGTCAGCTGGGGTGATGTCTCATTCACACACTGTGTTGCTGAAACTTAGGTCCTTCAGTTCTTCCTAATTTATGAGAAAACAGGCTAAAACGTGTTTGCACACCCCGTAGACACACTGAGAGGCTCTGAGTTTCGTGTGACTGATATTTGGAGCGCTTTCTAAGGAAAGAACTCTCTCCTGTGTTGCTAAGTGTGTATGGAAATGTTTTCATTATCTATGGAAGCCAGAGACTCAAAGGAAGTTCGGAAAATAGGAATTATAACTAAACAATGCTGTTGTTAGGATATCATGGCTGTGTTAGTCTGTGCCCCGATCCCAGGAAGTCATTTCAGATGGTAGCACATGTGTGTGTTTTAGTACATCAGACGGACAGATGCATTAGGAATCAGATCGTGAGCGGTGCAGGAATGTCTGATTTGGGCCTGCGGTCTCCGAAGATACGTGTGTCCTATCAAAGGGGAGTGGTTCCACACTTGTCAGAGCGCCTGGGCGGGGTTTCCCACCCTCGGCACTCTTGACACTTGGGGGCCAGATCATTCCTTGCTACGGGGCCGTCTTGGGCCCTGGGGGGTGTGGAGTAGCGTCCCTGGTCTCCACCCACTAGATGCCAGGAGCACCTCCACAGTCGTGACAATGAGAAGTGCCTCCAGACTTGACCAAATGTCCCCCGTGGGGGTAAAATCACCCCCCTGTTGAGGACCAGTTGGTCAGGGGTGGCCCTGTTGTCATGACAGGAAGTGTCCGGATTCAGATTGGTATTTACCGAGTGCTGGGTGCCCTCTGGCAGCAGCAGGCACACCGGGCCCTCCACGGACACTCACTCTTGCCGGCTCCTACCCACCTGCGCACTCTGGGATCCCTTCCTCTGGCTCAGGACGCCCGGTCCGACGCGTCCTCCTCGGCGGGCCCACGGCTCCCGGGAGCCTGCGTGTCTGTCCCCGACGCGCACCCGTCTCGCTGGGAGCTGACGTCTGTGTCTGGGCTCTGTCCACAGGACGGCACGGTGTTCGACGGCCGCCCGATAGAGTCGCTGTCCCTGATTGACGCGGTGATGCCCGACGTGGTGCAGACGCGGCAGCAGGCCTTCCGGGAGAAGCTGGCGCAGCAGCAGGCCAGCGTGGCGGCCACGGCGGCGGCGGCGGCGGCCCCGGCAGCCCCGGCGGCCGTTTCCCAGCAGAACCCACCAAAGAACGGCGAGGCCACGGTGAACGGGGAAGAGAACGGAGCACATGCGATAAGTGAGTGTCGGGCTCCAGAGCTTCGCGCTCCTGGCAGCTTCTCCCTCGTCTCTGAGTCTGGGCAAGTCCCACAGACCCCTTCCAGGCCTGCCTGCTGGGCGGTGCGTATGCGGCAATGTCTAGGGCTTGCTTGCTCTGTGGCCAGGAGGGCTTCGTGCTCTGGTTTTTCACTGAGATCCTTGGACACAGTGTTCTTTACTTACACGTCCTCAGCTTTAGGAGACTGTGCTGCTCTGAGAACTCATTTGTTCCACCTTGTGATTACTGTCGGGCACAAAAAGGAGGCCCCCGCGCCGTCCTCCGGCCTCGCGGATAAACTCTGACCTGACACTCGGAGCTCACGGTCACTGACAGGGCACCCGGCCCAGACAGCAAGTGCCGTCTTATTTGGTGGTTGCAGCAGGGTCCCCGTTAGGTAATGGCCCTAAAGTGTCTGGAAGACAAGTCGGAGAGCGTGAATCTTTACCCAGGGAACCTGCCGGCACTTTGACACGCGGCTTATCAACTCGGAGACAGCTTCAAGGTGTAAGCTCAGAGTGTGTGTGCGCATTGCACACGTGCGTGTGAGTGTGTGCATGCGTGTGTGTTCTTCCTCCTTTGAAAATCATTTCCCTCCGAGCAGCCGTGCCGCCCCCGCATGGCACAGCTCATCCCCCCGCCCCGGCACAGGCCGTCTCCCGCTAGAGTCGAGATGCAGCTCCAGCACTGCGCGGGAAGCCGGGGCAGGCTGCAGCGCGGGTTGTGTTACAGCAGGGTGGCTTAAAGCCCATCTGTCTAGCGTCCGATGAAAAGACTTCCCGCCGGCAGGCCCCATGATCACTGTTAACGAGGTCCAAGATGACGGGACAGGGAAAGAAAAAGAAAAAATAGGTGGCTTGTACCCACAGGTCATTTATGGGCTGCCCACTCCCGTGGGATACATCCCTCAAGGCGCCAAAAATAAAGAAAACAGGAAGGAGGTACGTGTCCTTGTCTTCTTAGGCTTCCGCCCCAGGCAGTGATCGTAATTGGTGAGCTCTGAGAAACCTCTATATCTGCCGAGACAGAAATTTTGCAAACTTATAAATTGCACCGTGTATTTTAAATCTTAACCTCTAAGGGAGTGTGGCCACGTGGAGACCGTCGCATGCCTTAAGGAACGCTGGTGGCTGGAAGTCCTTTGTTTCAGGAGTCCCTGAGCGTTACTTTTCACCTGAGGGCTGGCCGGCACCCCATCCCACGTACACCGTCCGGTGGTTTCTGACTCTCACTTTGTTCCGGAAACTAGTCCCACCTGCTCTTTGCTGCCATCTTGCTACAAGGCAGGCTGTGGCCTGAATGTAGTCTCTGAAGTGATAGTTCATTCTGATCTTCAAAGAATCTTTTTTCTTGTGCCACATAGGGGGAAAACGGCCACTATCCAGGGTGAATCTCTTCTGGGTGGCACTTAGCATGGCCTGTCGCCCTTCCAGAGCCTGGACCCTATGGGTCATCTGGAGGGAGGACTGCTTGGGTTCAGAAGCCTGGTGGTTCTGCTTGGCTTGAAAAGCATGGTACGCAGATGACTCCAGTCAGAAAATAGCACTTGAGTCCCAAGACTCTGAGGGGTTGAGGGTGGCAAGCCTTCTGGCAGAATGATGGCATGCCCCCGTGGTAGCGTCACAGATAGGGAGCTTCATAGATAAGCACCTCACAAGGGTGTTTCCAGGTAAGACTTGTCCCGTCAAGAGAAGGAAACTTCCGTCTGCTCAGGAGCCAGCTGGCTGTTAGCTTTTCTGTCCAGTCTTGTTCTGGCTGCTGTTAGAAATTACCCTCGCCCTAGTTATAGAGAATGAATACCAGTTTTTATTCCTCTGTCAAATTTGGAGCCTGTAAAGAAATGTCACATATCTACTAAATTACACAAAACCCATCATTTGGTTGTAATCGCCATGGGTGACAGCAAAGGAGGTTGTTTGTAAAACCCACGTGCCCTGAGGATGTTTCCTTGGTATCCCTCAGACCTGTGTCTTTTCCTGTTTCCTGTGACAGATAATCATTCGAAACCAATGGAAATAGACGGAGACGTGGAGATTCCACCCAACAAAGCCACAGTCCTTCGGGGCCATGAGTCTGAGGTGTTCATCTGTGCCTGGAACCCTGTCAGTGACCTCCTGGCTTCCGGGTAAGGGTGTCCGGCTGGGGGTGCCCAGGGTCTGGGTGTCCGAGTTCTCACTCACAGGACGTGCGCTTCCCCTCCGTACCTTGTCGGTGGCATCTTCCCAGTGAGTGCAGACCAGGGCTTGGGGCGCCCCGAGTACCTCAGGCTGTGCAGAAGTGCCCGGTCCAGCTGTTTTCTCAGCGGGCTGGGGAGCAATGCACAGACATTTCAAATTACTAAGTGCAAAAAAGGTCGGGAAGAGAAAACCACTGTGAGTCAGCGATATCAAAAAGACGGAGGACCTCGTGCCAAGGATGCCCGACCTAGCAGACAGCAAGTAGTGATGAGCATTGCTGGCCCTGGGACCGGAAGCTGAATGCTGTGTGTGTTCCTTGCGCAGATCTGGAGATTCAACCGCAAGGATATGGAACCTCAACGAAAACAGCAACGGGGGCTCCACGCAGCTCGTGCTGAGGCACTGTATACGGGAGGGGGGGCATGACGTCCCCAGTAACAAAGACGTGACCTCGCTGGACTGGAACGTAAGCCTCCGCCACCGCCCAGACACTTGAACATCTGTACCCCACAGCGAGGGCCGCCGTGATGCTGATGGAGCCGGGCAGACGCAGGAAGGGGGCAGTATTGTTGGTCAGCCCAGCCTGGGGGGCTGGCCCCCGTTTCTGAGCGCTCCTCCCGAGGCCCTCCGTGTTGGCGGACCTCTAGCTGGGTATTCAGTGGCCACACGTTGGCAGGATGGAGTCTGGTGGTTTTATCGGGGAACCCGTTCTGCTGGCGCTCTGTGAGTTGTCACGAAGGAAAGATGACTTTCCACCCTGACGCCTCGGCACCTGTGTTACGTGCACTTAATACGTGAGAGGCACAGAGCTCTCTGACTTTTTTTTTTTTTTTTCCTGATTGGGACATCTTTTGATTTTCTTGCCCTTGATCACGTTTACGCATATTCTGTCATTTCACCAATCTTCTCTATTTGTACATTATTTTTAAGAGCTCAGCTAACTCGCCAGGAGTCTCACGATAACTTTTCGTACCGTATTTTTATGGACGTCGTCAGTGGTGAGGGGTTGCAGTGTGTTTTCCTTGCCCCCTCGCCTCCTCGATGGTTGTATGCGGGGAGGCTGTTTGGTCTCACGTTTTAATTGAAGGGCAGTGCGAGCTCAAGTAGGCCAGCGTGACTGGTGAGTCTCGTGCCTGGGAACCTGTTGTTGACATGAGGTGCTGCAGCCCAGGGATAATGTGAGGGGCTCTTTTCCACTGCTGCCTCTACTAAGCTGTTTCCGTTGGTCTGTGTTTCTCTCTGGCCTGCAGAGTGACGGCACACTGTTGGCTACAGGGTCCTATGATGGTTTTGCAAGAATCTGGACGGAAGATGGTAAGTCCTGACTCCCTTGTGTTGGGGTCGGAGAGGAGGTGCTTGGTTTGTCATCATCCGGTGAACAGGCTGAGGCTCGGAAGTCACCCTGCTTTGCTGTTTGTGTTTTACGTACCAGGTAACCTGGCCAGCACCTTAGGCCAACATAAAGGCCCCATCTTTGCCTTGAAATGGAACAAGAAGGGGAATTACATTTTGAGTGCTGGAGTAGACAAAGTGAGTGTTTGCTTAAGATACATTGCTGTGATCTGTAGATGCTTATTTATGTTTAATCTCAGATAACACCACGCTTTTCTATGAATTCTGAGAACTCTGCCTCCCGTTAAGAAATCAGAAGGATCTGTTTTGTTTGTTTCTGTGGTTTTGATCTTAGTGTTCATTTCTAGCACATCGTGTCTTAATGTACCGTAGACTGCTCTACAGACCTTTATCAAAGCTCTCCCCCGGCCCGTCACACCTTTTACTTTGAGGTTCATAGTTCACTGATAGAAGGAAGAAAATTCCCAAATTGCGTTTGTCCACTGCTTGTCCACTGGCGTGGGGTGTCCTCTGCATAAACTTACACCCCACACACACAGAGTGATTTTAGGAACACAAACAGTTTTCTCTCCCCAGGCTTCCGTTTTCCTAATCTGACAACTTGTTGCTTCGCGCTGTGGACCGCAGGCTTCCCTGAGGGCAGGCGTAAGGTAGACACCCATGCGAGGGGCGGGGCTCACTGGGGTGATGTGGCCCTTTTCACAGAGGGGAAAATGGAGCCCCAGAGAACTTCACTAATTTGCCTCGGGACACATTGGTATAAAGTCGGATTGGAAACTCAGGCCCTGGACGCCAATAACAACTGCCCTTTAGTTTTCACACTCCTCCAGAGAATTCTTTGCATCTTCAGGTCCTCCCTGCCCCTGAGGCCGTTTTTTATGATCATTTTGGATTTTCTACCTGATTATCTTCTGTTTCTACCAGGCGATGAACTGGATGGTTAGTGGACATGCACATTTGGAATTCTAGTAGCCTCTGAGTCAGACACTATCTGCCATGATTAGTCAACCATAGCAGGAATAATAGTCATGTTCTGTAAAGTGATATATTCTCGGGGAGGAAATGTAATTTAGGGATGTTGGCTTTGACCTGCAGTGCTTGCTTAACCCAAAGTGGCTAAAATGTGTTTCAGTTTCTTGAAAGCTTTTGTGTAAGGAATATGCTTTTTTTTGCCCAGTGTATGTTTAACGTTAAAACATCAACAAGTTGTTACACAATTATTGACGTAGTAGGTGAAATTGTATCAGGATTGTGGAAGGGTTTCTGTGTTCTCTGCCTTTTGCCAGATTTGTGAGTGGCTCAATTAAGAAAAAAAGTTATACTCCATCAAACAGAGATTGTTGGGAATTCCCTGGCAGTCCAGTGGTTAGGACTCCGCACTTTCGCTGCCAAGGGCCCGGGTTCAGTTCCCGCTCGGGGAACTAAGATCCTATATAAGCCCTGTGGCGCGGCCCCCCCCAAAAAACTTGTTAATTGGTCTAGAGCTGGCCGAAAGTTTCAGAGATACTCATTGCTGTATTTTCTCTGAAGATTACTGCTGTTGATACGAAATAGAACTAGGCTTCTTAAAGTAAAATGTTCATTAAACATCATTGACGGGGAGGTGTCAAGGTTCCGATTCAGTTGAAAATCCCAGTTGATTAAGAGCTAATTGCAGTGGTCTTCATCGAGCTGCCAGATGGCGTCTTCCCTAAGTGTCTCCCAACATTAGTACGTTCGTAAGCATTTGTGATTGACTTTGTTTTCCGGGGAGATCTTTTTTTCTTTTTTTTTCTCCTTATATATATTATAGACCCAGTAAATCAGTGCCAGACCCCAGTGTAACCCGATTCTCTACTCTGTCTAGTGATCCCAATTCATGGAGTGAGTGGCGGTCAGGGGAATTTTCAGAAATACTCATTTCTGCAGCTTTCCGTTGGGAAAAGTGCCAAAAAGGTGTTTATCGTTACAGTTTTTCCACTAGCTTTTCGTGTTTGGGGATAAGGGGGATTTCCCACCCAAACGGGTAGTTTTGCGAGTATCAGTCACAGCTGCTGTGTCTGGTGGAGTAACCAGCGCGTGTGGCCGGCTTCATGAGTGTGACCCTCCGGATCGTTAAGTGTGTAAGAGACACCCTGGATTCCAAAGACACGGGTGAAAAAGAGAATGCCAGATATCTTGTTGATACGAGTATATTGATCGTATGTTGAAACGATAATATTTTCGCCATGCTGGAGTGAAATAAACTTTATTGTTGAAATTAGTTTTACTGGTTTCTTTTTTAATTTTTTAGTGTGGTGACTGAAAATTTTAAACTTCCTGTGTGACTTGCATGCTATTTATATGCTGTTTATTGGACAGTGCTGCTTTAGAAAAAAGAGGGGCTCACTGCATTTTCTTATATCATAAATTTTTCTAGAGAAAACTTTGCAAGAAGAATAGTAACTAATTTTTTCTTTCTTTTTTCTTTCTTTTTTTTTTTTTTTTTTTTTTTTGGGGG